TTTTATTTAGAGACAGGGTCTCCCTGAGTTGCTTAGCACCTTGCTGTTGCTGAGGCTGGCTTTGAACTTGTGATCCTCCTGCCTCAGCCTCCTGAGCTGCTGGGATGACGGGTGTACACCAYAGTGTCCAGCAACTAATCACTTTTATGACCAGTATCAGAAAAATAAACAAAAAAGCATTTGAACGGAAACAACAGAAAAGGAAGTAAAAATACGACAGCTTACCTGGAGTGGCCCTGGGAGGTCCCCTGCCGTTAGAACAAACCTTTCACTTGCTCTGTTTCYGTGTCCAGGTCTATGTCATAAAAGCAGGGCCGAGTGGGAAGCCCTGGCATCGTGCTCATCTGCAGGGAAAACAAATGCCACAGAGTGATCACACTGGACACTGTGGGCCTAGTGACACCAATTAGCCACAGCGCTGGGTCCAGCCTCGTGTCATAGTAGGCTCTGTATACACACCTTTCTTTAGGTTGGCTAGCTGTTATTTCTTTTCCTCTTCTTTTATTTATTTACTTAATTTTGATATTTCTTAGTTGTTGATGRACCTTAATTCTATTTATTTATATGTGGTGCCGAGAATTGAGCCCAGTGCCTCACACATGCCAGGCAAGCGCTCTTCCACTGAGCTACAACCCTGGCCCCTGTTATTTCAATCTCTAGAAAGGCYGAGTGTTGATTCCTGAAATTTAGCCCGTGTGCCCTCCCCATAGTCCACAGCACACCAAACCTTTTCTTCCCAGTCAAATCTTTGTGCTGAACCCCAACTCTGGGTGCACGGGTTGCGAGTGTGGGTGGAGTGAGTGGCGGCTTCTCCTCACCTGGAGGTACATGTTTTGGTAAAACCTCCAGTGCAGTGTGAATCTGTTCTGGAGGCCCCAGTCACCTGCCCACCTCGGCCAGTCTCAGGTGTACTTTGAGCCAGGCCCTTGGGGTCAGTGTTTTGTCTGCTTTATATTCTCAACAATCTACATGGGAAGTATTTTCATTATTTCTATGTTACAAAGGAAGAACCTGAGGTTCAGAGAGATGCCCAAGGGCACATGGGTAATAAATGCCATACAGGGACTCTGACTCTGTCTKCGATGTCACTCCAACTCACGTCCCCACCACCACCTCTGTGACACACAGGGTTTCGCATGGATGACTTCATCCAGCTCCCTGCACCCTTGGACATAGGTACTGACTTTCACCTCACTTTTACAGATGAATCCAGGGATGTTTAGGTAGAAAGGCAGATACAGTACAGTCAGTGCTGGGAGCAGTGGAGCATGCCTAGGAGACCTGGGAAGCTGAGGCAGGAGGTTTGCAAGTTCAAGGCCAGCCTTAGCAACTTAGCAAGTCCCTATCTCAAAATTAAAAATTACAAGAGTTGGGGACATAGTTCAGGGGTATAGAATCTCTGGGTTCGATTCCCAGCACCAAAAAAAAAAAAAACAAAAAACAAAAAAAAAAAAAAACAAACCAAACCAAACCAAAAAAGGGTAGTTAATGGCAGTGCAGAATGAAGCCCAGTTCCTCTTTGCCGGGCCAAGTCTGAATGAGCACTTTAAAAGGTGCTCTTTGTCCCCAGCTTCAGAAACCACAGGTGTTCCAGGAAAACGTCCTGGTTCCCAGGGATTCTCACACACTAACCCTGCTCCGGGATCTGGATGTGAGGCTCCCGGATAACCCGCTCCTCCATTTCAGTCTTTCCTGCYGTGCCCTAGCAGTGATGCTCACGGGCACAGGGGCATCTGATGGGTACCCGGGCAGTACCTGGGCCTCTGCCTAGCCCAGCTCTCCCAAGGCTAAGTGCTGCACCCCGCAGGGTCCAGCTGCCCCGGCCCAGAGCGTCCCTCAGGAGGTGCAGCCAGGAGGYGGTTGGTGCTCAAGCTCCTCCATGCTCTGCTTCCTTTGCAGGGGATTGAATTTCGCGCTTCACCACCTCTCCTGCCCCCATGTATAGGATCTCGTCTCACTCAAAAGGCCGTCTGTGGCCAGCAGCAGCCCAGACGTCTGTTAGGAATTCAGAGCCCCCAGACCTGCTGGAGAAGAGCTGCAACGACAGCAGGTGCCCAGGGGACTTGGAGGCACACTGCAGCTTGAGGACTCCCAGGGCGCCCACTGCCACTGGTCACCTCACTGCCCTTCTCCTTCAGCCCCAGGGAAAGGCAAGGGCCAAAGAACCTTTTAGATCCACCCCCTGCAGTGCCACCCTGTCCCACCTGGCAGCTGGTGGAGAGCAAATCTGGGCACCTACAGGCCTCATTAACTGTTCCTCTCCGCCCTGTTAGACCTGGGAGTGGGAGTGGGAAGGGGGACAGGGCAAGGGGCAGGCGCAGCACACTGTGGTGGCTGGCGGTGGCTGCTGTCTTGCTAACGGAACAGGCCTGCACTTCAGGGCTGTATGGCTACGAGGGCTTCTGAGGCTGCCTGGAGGAAAGGTCCTGGAACACATTGGTGGCATCCTGGGCTCCAAATCGCCAACCACAAGGAAACTTGTTTTTGGAGGGTGGGTGGTACTGGGGATTGAATCCAGGGGTGCTTAACCATTGAGCTACATCCCCAGCCCTTTAATATATTTATATTTTTATTTAGAGATGGGAGCTTAAAAAGTGGCTTAGAGGCTCGCTAARTTGCTGAAGCTGGCCTTTAACTTGTATTCCTCCTGCCTCCGGGTCCCAGGTTGCTGGGATTACAGGTGTGCCCCATCGTGCCCAACTATAAAAGCTATTTTAAGATACTTGTACTGCAATCTGCATGGGGCTATGGAGAAGGAAACAGCATTTAATAATTAGAGAGAAATAAAGGAGTGATGGTATTCAGCTGTATTTTCCCCATCCCTTAATTCTCTGGGCCCAAAGCATCCTTTACTAGTAAGGAACTCACGTCAACACTGTGGCAGGTGCTGCTCCGGAGGCTGCAACACTATCCACTTTAAAACAGAATTCAGTAACAGGTGGGTCAAGTTTAAATTCACTTGAGGTGACAAAAGCCAATTTGAACTCTGAAGGAAGTATATGTGGGGCAACAAAGGCAACCGGAGAGTCTACTGTGGATAACCCACTGTCCCCTCTGCTTGTGTATCCACTCTTTCTACAGAAGAGAACAGTCAACTCTCCAGCAGGAACTTTGAGCCGATGAGAGGCCAAGACTGACGAAGGCAGGGWATGTATGATCCGTGTGTTCCTAGAGGAGGATCCACTGGTCGCCATGAACCAGAATGTGGGTCTTCTGGTCTGATTCTGTGACCAAGTTGGGAGTCAAGTCAGCTAAAATACTTTGTGTCAGTCAGTGTGACATGTCTTTCCTTCATTTTGATTTATTCTTTCAAATGGGAGAGAAATAAGTTTAATCAAAAGATTCCCATGTGCCTTCCCAATGATGCAATACGCCCTTCCAAGAATCTGGACTCCTTATTTGGAATAAGCAAGAGCAGACGAGAAACCGCACAGCCCTCTAGAGCCCAGAGGCTCCCTGGCCTGTGGGTACACAGTCGCCTCCAGTCTATTCCTACGGTAAAAACTTTCCTGCTGAGCAAACACGACTCGGGGTGATGTGAGCAGAGCTTACACCTTCACTTGATATTCTCTCCCCATGAAAAACTTACCAAAGAATCACAGCTCTTACAGGAGACTCAGTTCAGAGAGCCCTTGGGAGTTGACCCCTGGCCACATGCCCGGGGTCACTGGGCTCCGTGTTTACTTTATCTCTGTGCCCTCTAAGGAGGCCTCCTGCTTAAAATAACTAAGGAGCTACTAAATTGTACTTACTTGTCATGGAGCATTAGTGGATTCTTTTACAAAGGCCAAGAAACATAGGCTTTTTGCCCTTCATGACCCTAACTTTGACTATCATAAATCTTCCAAATCTTTAACTTCGGGTTAACATTATTTTGGGGAAACAGTAAGTTCTGCCAATAGCCTTTATGAATATACATTAAACACCAGTAAAGAGAAAATGGGCGGCTGGGATTTGTGGCTCAGTGGTAGAGCGCTTGCCTAGCACATGCGAGGCCCTGGGTTCGATCCTCAGCACCACATAAAAATAAATAAATTAAATAAAGGTATTG